GGAGGTGCATGTTTGCGTCCCACAGCAGGGCACACTACGGATGAAGAAGACGGGGCCAAACAGGCTAGGTGCATTTTTTGACAACAGTACTGTACTGTACAGTAAGTTTAGGATCCGGGTATTCATTTTGTGTTGCAAGTACGGACCAGTGTCTATGTTAGTGTTTAAGCCTCTTGATTGGAGACTGGAAGGTCACTACCGACATTTACAACTGTTGACCACCTGTACCACCGGGAAAAGAACAGATGGATGACTGCTGTTGAAAAGCTGTGTGCTTTGGGCTTCCCGGCCAAGCAAAGTGTGGCAGATGTCTATGGCTGTGAGCCTTGGCTACTGTACCCAAATATCGACTCCAATCCCTTGCAGTAGAAGAACACATTGTACTGTAACCTTCCAAACCAACACTGGCAGTTTCTTAGTTTGTTTGTCTACTGGTGGAAAAGGCAGTTTGCTGCTTTTTGGAGACAAACAGGGTCATTCACCAATTGTATGTTCCATTTTCTCCATAGGAACTGATGGACATTTCTGCTTGGACACATCTTCACGCTCGGTGTGGAAATTCACAGCATCTTCCACAATCAGCACTTTGGTCAGAACTGGCATGGAAAGTGACAGATGCCATGTTAGGGCGTTGTCTTGATTCTTTGAGTCCAGGCTTTTCTCAGCCTAATTACATACAGTACTGCAGGCAGCAGTGCTGCTCTCCGTGCTGGCAACTGTGGAATTCTACACTCCCTTCAACATTCCACGAGCAATGCCGGAGTCCTCTTTTGTGGTGAAGACTCAGGCCAATGGACTTTGCCTGTGGTCTTGTTTGTTTTTGGCTGCTGGCGCAACTCGAAGGGAGAAGTACTTCTGGATCATCCGCCAGAGAAACTCTTCAGGGTTTGGTGATCCAGGCAATGACCAAAAGGAAGCCAAGACAGTCCAAACCTGGGCACTGTCCTTGAACGATGGAAACGTCCCCGAAGGGTGCCGGCTGCGCATTCTGAAGGGAGAATCAGCAGTTCATGAAGACATTGCTTCTTGACTTATATAAAACCCTTGTAAGAGGAAACATCCTTGTAAGAGGAAACGTTTTTTGGGGACAGCGGTCCATGACATGGCTATGTTTGTTTGTTGGTTGGTTGGGGGACGGACACAATGATTGTCAGGTTTTGCGTGTCCATTCATGGAGACCCTATGAATTTATTGTAGGTTGCCATGTTAGTGGTGGGCGGGCGTGGGTCCACTTTCATTTCGAGTCAAGCAGCGAACTGTCAGGAATGGGCCAGCAGGACATTGAAGGTCAGGCTCATGATTTTGACTGGTACGAAGATGCCAAACACATTCCCAACTCAGACTGTGCCTGTCAATGTTGGAGTCGAAGAGTCTGATTGGGAACCAGTCTTCATTTGGAGCCATCAAGTCAGTGACGGAGCTGGCAAGGGCGCTGAACACTTTGACTACATTTGTCAGGCAGGGGCCCTTTACTAATAGAACAAGGGGCATGTGTGTATGTCATGACAACCTTTGCATCCCAGAATTGCTATGTTAGTTGTGACAGGACACATCCTTCTTCTCTGATGAGCCCTTGCCAGATGAAGAAGCTGCAGATCCTGCCAAGGATGCTGCTCAGATTCGTGTAAAGAAGGAGAAGGTGGATCATCCGAAGGCCACCGCCGAGTATTGCCAAACAAAGCGGGCTGAGACAAAACAGCAGTTTCTTGAACAGTTACCCGAGGATCTGAGGTCCGAACTTTCATCTGTAAAAGGTGTTGGAAGGAATTCCGACGATGACGGTTGGGACATTGGAATGCCCGCTGGCCAGAAGCTGACTGTTTTTGACAAGGACTTGCTGACTGGGGGTGGGTGGGGGTGGATGGTTGCAGGGTTTCGAGCAGTTCCTTCCCAACAATAAACATGTAAACTTCCAGAACCTTGGCGGACCCGCCTCTCCTCAGGACTTTGAGAGTAATCGTGAGTCAATTGGCAGTGTGGTCTTGTGTGTGGCCAAGAAGCGGGATCAGTTGCGAGCATCCTACACCGCCAAGAGGATGCAGGATCTCTGGGAGATGGCTAGGTGCCACGGCATCAAGTGTGCCAAGCGCAAGCAGGTCGTTTTGGACAATTTGATCACGCACGAATGCTGGAACCCGAGTGAGTTGCCAAGGTTGTTCACTCCTTAAGTGAGCTCAAAATGAAACCGGTTTTCTAGGGAAATATTCCTATCTATTGTATTCCTAACAATCCTGAATTCCTCCACCCTAGCTGGCAACTTGTCATGTCGAGCCACTCTTGCTCGTGACTTGATCGGGCAAGGTCAGACAATGCTATCGGAGGACCTTGATCTCTTCAAGCAGCAACAGGAGTCTGAGGGAAGGAGTGGTAGTTGGGCAGACTACTGTCCCTTTTTTGTCGGGACACATTGGGAGATAAGGCCAACCGTTGCCAGGTTAGTAATCTCTAGTTTTGACACTGCGTTAAAACGGGAACACAGGATTCAATTGGTTGTGATGTGCGGTGACAAGAGGCTCTACTGCATCTGTTGTAGCAACTGGTCATGACGGCCAATCAAAACATACCTGTAGGTTTCCATGTTTGCGCATCAGTGCCGGATTGATTGTTCACCTGCGTGTAAACAGACTGGCTGGCTCAATTGGGTGAGACCCTAGTCACCTGTACTGGCCTGTTGTGTAGTTGTCCATCCCATGTTGCCGCTACTGGATTCGCAGTACATCGCGCTGATCCTACATGTGCTTCTCCTACTCCTCGCTGGATTTGTGGTGTTGATGTGGCAGAGTGGCGATGGCGATGTTGTGAAAGGCAAGGATGATGGCAGAATCACAGTGGTGGCCCCGGACGCGACAGAGATGCCGGTGGCCACACTACTGCGTTTACCACTGCCCCCGGACTCGGACTATGATTCGCCTTCACCACGTGCACCAGAGTCACCAAGCTCCAGCTCATGCTCTAGTTGGGAGATGGACAGCCCGGGTGGCAGGCACAATCGCAGAGTCAAGCTCAGGCGACCCCGACGGGCTTTTATCTGACTCTGTCCTAATGACAAGTGCATCGGGAAAATGTGGCGGGCTCTTCTGAATTGCTTCAGTGATGTACAACCCAGACTAACCTGGAACTCTTCCAGTGTTCATACCCCTCTCATTCTACAGAGCCCCCTTGCAGGGTGGACGCATGGGCATATACAGATTGCTGTGTATATACTGTACTGTATATATATATAGAATGTGGTTACTGTAAAGATTCCACAAAAGGAAACACGCCTGTAGGTTTCCGTGTTTGTGCATCAGTGTGCGTTGGACTACGCTTCCCTGTTTTTGCAGGAGTCTGCAAAGGCTACTGCATCGTCGGAAGCTAGCCGCCAGGAAACTGACCGGTTCAAGCAGTTATATACTGTAGCGTTTGTTGTCTTCGTAGATCGGCTGTGTTTTGCATCCAATAGCTCCGTCATGTTCCTTCCCTCCTGCCTCTTCCTTAGACTCTACTGATTCTGCCTCCAGGACCCTCCAGATCTTTGCAAGACAGCTCCGCCATCCAGTGCTCCAATGAAGGAGCAGCATACAAGACGCGTTTTTTTATTTGAACAAAACACAACATCCACATGTTCCAAGTTAGTTCAGCAGTGTGTGTTGGACCTTCCTGATACTGTAGTTTGCTCATACTACAACAAAGTTGTGGCCAGGAAGTGTCAGATCCGTCCAAAGAAGCTCAACCTG